TATTCCTGATGGGCGAGGGGGAGTCGCTTGTGCTTCTGCTGGTGTACGTGGATGACATCCTGCTCTTCAACAGTAGCGACAAGGACATCGATGGAGTGCAGTGGAAACTCACAGAGCAGTTCAAGTTGAAGTCACTTGGAGGGGCAAGGTATTACCTGGGAATGCATATTGAGAGGGATGCTGAACGCGGCTGGCTCAAACTGCATCAGGGATAGTATATCAACACCTTGGCTGAGAAGTACTCTCTGCAAGAAGATCAGAAAGTGGCTACTCCTTTGCCTTCCGAGTTCAAACTCATAAAGGCAGCTGAAGGAGAGGGAGTTGAGAGTGAAGACAAGAGGCAATTCCAATCCATGGTTGGGAGCCTACTGTACGCTGCTGTGCATACTCGCTCTGACATTAGTTTTGCTCTGGGACAGCTGGCTCGAGTAGTGAAAATTTCCAACAGAAGAGCACTGTGGTGCATTGGAGAGAGTGGTGCGTTACGTCAAGTCATACCTTACAGTGGAAGTACAGTATTCAGCCTCTGCTCAACTCAGGCAGAAAGGAGTTGAAGCTCTCAAAGAGAAGGGAGAGAAGCTCGGAGAAGGAAAGGTGTTCCTTTCCTGCTTTGCTGATGCCACATGGGCTTCTGAGCATGAGGATTCATCGTCAGTTGGTGGATACGTATGCATGGTGGGAGGTGGGCCTGTAAGTTGGAGGTCCAAGAAGCAGTCCGAAACGGCACTATCTTCTGTGGAATCTGATCAAATGGCGATGTTTCATGCGGCAAAAGAAATCATCTAGCTAAAAAGGCTCCTGAAGGAGATCGGACATGAACAGACTTGTGCGACACCTCTGTTCAGTGACAGCAAGGGAGCCATTACTATGGCACGGAATGCGGTTCTTCATGGGCTGAACAAGCACATGAGGATCAAGTGGCATTGGCTGCAGAAGGAGGTGAAGCATGAGACACTAGATCCGATCTACGTGAAAACTCAGCAACAGCCAGCCGACTTCCTTACCAAGCGGCTAGCGGAAGAGCCACACTGGCGCTGTGGAAGGATGACAAGAATGTCCTTAAACTAGAGACTGCAAGACAAGCCGATAGTCTGAGGGGGAGTGTGTTGGTGGATATTCGTTTGCACGTCATCCTGTCGTCTATTCGCATCATTTTGCATGTGTTTCATGTGCTACGTGTTTTGCGTGGTTTGTTGGGTTTGCATGTCTTTGCATGTTCATCTTGTGCTTGTGCAGATGTGCTTGAATTTTGCGTGACATCCAGAACATAAGGCTATTCGTGACATCGAGAAATTTCCAAGGGGCCATTGAATCATCTGCTTATAGCCTTCTCTAACCAGCATATAGGGCTCTCCAACTTTGGTGTAGCAGCTGCCAAGGACTTCCAGTAAGTTGTAACAAATCTATCAAACACTTCTTCGTAACTTCTTCATATGTGCTCCGATTCCAACAATTCTTGGCTCGTTGAAATGTGCTCGATGTCATGCCAATCCAAGCACATCTGCAGAAGCACAAGATGAATATGCAAAGACATGCAAACCTAAGAAACCACACAAACAACGTAGCACACAAACACATGCAACAAAATGATGCGAACAGACGACAGGATGAAGTGCAAACGAATATGCACCAACACGTTTGCACGTCATCCTGTCATCTGTTCGCATCATTTTGCATGTGTTTCGTGTGCTACGTGTTTTGCGTGGTTTGTTGGGTTTGTATGTCTTTGCATGTTCATCTTGTGCCTGTGCACATGTGCTTGAATTTCGCGTGACATCGAGAACATTCCAACGATCCAAGAATGATTGGAATCGAAGAAGTTATGAAGAAACACTTGATGGATTCGTTACAATTTATTGGAAGTCCTTGGCAGCTGCTATACCAAGGTTGGAGAGCCCTATAACGAGGAGGGACCAGCATGTGTGGAACTTTTGTCCTCACCTTGCAGCTGCAGCATATGGGGTTTGGATGCCAACATGACACAGTGTGAATTTTGTCTTGCCAGGCTGGTTGAACCTGAGGATAGGGAGTCAAGACTTTGACTCTAGTCATGTTCTTGACCAAGGGCCTCTAGGGTCCTTCCCTTTCATCATTCCTTTCCTTCCTTATCTTCCAACTATGCTTCAATGTTTTCCATTATGTCTGCAAACTTGTAAGCTTCAATGGATGTGACTCTGAGGACTGTCAATTTCGCCTAAGGCAGATTGCCCCCTAGTGCGCCAAATGCCATAGCTCACTCGCTAGACTATGGAATCGAGTGATTCAACTCTTATTAGAAGGATGACGTTGCAAGCTACAAAACATCCAAATTTCATATCGTTTCACTGATTACATTATTGGATATAGCTTTCCGAAGGTCGCGAGTTTTTTGGGCGTCATAACGAAGTGCTGCATAAAATTTTAAGGAAGTGTTGAATCCTCTGCTAACAACCTTCTCTCACCAACAAAACAAACCCTCCAAGGGGCTACACCAAGTAAAATGTAACAATATACGAAGTAGCATTACCATTCTTACTTTTTATATATATATCCTTCTCTCTTAGCCTTGAAATCTTGAGCTCTTGGTCTTGGTTCTTTAAGCTAATTTTTTCATGAGTTGATGGGGGCTTGCTGCACTCACCTGCGACGGAATGGACACTTCACACTCGACAAAATAGAAAAACACATGCGACCCACAAACGACGACTTGACATGCGAGTTGTGAAAACTCGTTAATGTCTTGACTGACACAAACCACATTGTGATACACCATTCAAACACACACACAAGCACTAGATAGCAAAAACATAGACTCACAAGCAATTCCATACCATGCGTGCACACACACGAACAAGGACGACAAGCCGAGTGCAAGCCATAGGGTTGCACCAACAGTGACTCCTCTTGGGCCGACTCTCAGCCGGATCTGTTAGAAACAGAAAAGTTGGTTCCTTGATGAAGCAAAGGGATTACATTGGGAGGGAGATCAGCTAGGAAGGGAAGGTTGAAAAGGAAGAGGGGGTGAGGACCAATCCCAAGGGAAGCGGGATCCTTACAAATATGGTTGATCACAAGTGAGAGGTGGTCCGAGTGTGGTGGACCACAAGTGGCTTGAGCAACCAACTTGTGGTGGCCCCACAAGTCTGGTCCTTGTGTTTGTGGTTGGATTGACACCCCAACACATGTATCGGTGTCTGGAGATGCATCGGTGTTGGGACACATTGTTGGGGCAAAAGGGGTGTGGGGAGCAGGCCAAGGGGGCTTGCGGGTGTGGTGGTCTCGTTGCTGGAGCACGGTTGGAGTCACGCCACTGCTCCACAATTGCATCTAAACATGTCCACACCATGGGCCCTAGCACAGGCTCCGTACCCACGTAGTTCATCTATTTCTAATCTTCTCTGACATCCCAATCAACAGTGGAGGGTGAGATGACATGGCTGGTGCGGGCTAGTGGGAGGTGCGTGAAGGGTCGTACCCCCTTTTTCCACCCTGTTTGAAGGGTGCTGTGGGATAGATGGGAGAAGAGGTGGAGAAATCAAGGAGACTATTGAGCATTGTCCTCCAATGCCTTGTACAAATAGATGTTGGGAGTCGTACCCCCTTTTTCTATGTGGGAGATTATTGGGCATTGCCCTCCGATGAGTGGGAAACGGATGCGGAAGGAGTGGAGTTAACACCGAACTACGAACCAAAGTGGTAAGGGTGGTGGAAGAGTGGAGACGCGCTCTGACACGATGGGGAAGAGGGTTGGGAATTGTTAGAAACATGCCTGAAACAAAGGGGAAAGGAATTGGGAAAGATTTGTAAGAAATAGAGTTGAAATGATTGATTAGGTAAGGAGCCCAAGGCTCTATAAGTACATGACAAGGTGAGAGTGAATGGATGAAGGGGGAATTGGAGGGAATCCCCATTGGGATCTCCGGAATCTCCAATTGGGTAATTGGAGATTGGGGGGATCACAATTGGGTGAAGTTGGGATTTATGAGTACACCCCAACCCACTAGAACATTCATAACCTAAACTAGCATATAGAAGTACAAATACAAAAGTGGTATTTGCAGTCTATTTCTAACACACCCCCATAGACTGCAAACCCGATCAAGGAGCACATAGCCCCATGGAACGGAGAAGGCGATCGTGGTCAGCCTTGCCGAGAGCCTTGGTAAAGAGGTCGGCGAGGTTGCAATCTGAGGCGATGTACCGTACCGTCAGCTGGTCACTGTGAACAAGATCTCGGATGAAGAAATGACGAAGTTCGATGTGCTTGGTGCGAGAGTGGAACACAGGATCCTTGGTGAGATGAATGGCACTCTGGTTGTCACACCACAGGGTGGACGACTTCTGGGGGTAGCCTAACTCAGCGAGGAGAAAGGAGAGCCAGCGTGCCTCTTGAGCAGCCATTGTGCCCGCGTAGAGATCGGCTTCGCAGGACGACAGGGAGACTGCAGAGGACCGAATGGAGCGCCAGCTGATGACTCCGCTACCAAGGGTGAAGCAGTACCCTTGGGAGGAGCGTCTGTCAGTCTGGTCATCGGCCCATGAGGAGTCTGTGTATCCCTCGAGCTTGACTGGAGAGGTACCACCAAGAGTGAGGATGTGAGACTTGGTGGCTTGTAGATAGCGGAGGACCCTCTTGGCTGCAGACCAATGCGAGGCAGTGTAGCGTCCAGGGGAGACGTACCGAGAGAGGACACTAACCGGGTAAGCCAAGTCTGGTCGAGTGCACATCATGGCATACATGAGTGAACCGACTAGCTCAGGGTACGGGTCCTTGCAGGCGTTAGGAGAAGGAATTGGAGGAGCCGTGAGCTGATGCTGTAGTGGGAGTGGAGTGGAGACAGAGTTACTGGAGTCCATGTCGAACCGCTTGAGAAGGTTGTCGATGTAGGACTCCTGGGAAGGGAAGGATGAAAGGGAAGGACCCTGGAGGCCCTTGGTCAAGAACATGACAAGAGTCAAAGTCTTGACTCCCCATCCTCAGGTTTAGCCAGCCTGGCAAGACAAAAATCACACTGTGCCAGGTTGGTCTCCAAACCCCAAGTGCTGCAGCTGCAAGGTGGGGACAAAAGTCCCACACATGCTGGTCCCTCCTCGTTATAGGGCTCTCCAACTTTGGTGTAGCAGCTGCCAAGGACTTCCAATGAGTTGTAACAAATCCATCAAACATTTCTTCGTAACTTCTTCATATGTGCTCCGATTCCAACAATTCTTGGCTCGTTGGAATGCGCTCGATCTGATGTACAATCCAAGCACATCTGCACAAGCACAAGATGAACATGCAAAGACATGCAAACCCAACAAACCATACAAACGACGTAGCACACAAAACACATGCAACGAAATGATGCGAACAGACGACAGGATGACGTGCAAACGAATATGCACCAACACTATAACGAGGAGGGACCAGCATGTGTGGGAATTTTGTCCCCACCTTGCAGCTGCAGCATTTGGGGGTTGGAGGCCAACCTGGCACAGTGTGAATTTTGTCTTGCCAGGCTGGTTGAACCTGAGGATGGGGAGTCAAGACTTTGACTCTTGTCATGTTCTTGACCATGGGCCTCCAGGGTCCTTCCCTGTCAACTTCTCCTAGGGCAGATTACCCCACAGTGCGCCAAACGCCATAGCTCACTCGTTAAGCTACGAATCAAGTGATTAAACTTTCATTGGAAAGCTGACGCTGCAAGCTACAACATATCCGATTTTCAGATCGTTTCACGTATTGGAGTTTTCGATATAGCTTTTCGAAGGTCGCGGGTTTTCTGGGTGTCATAACGAAGTGCTGCAGAAATTTCCAAGGCGCCATTGAATCATCTGCTTATAGCCTTCTGTAACCAACACGCAATGTTCTCGATATCACGAATAGCCTTATGTTCTCGATTTCACGCAAAATTCAAGCACATCTGCACAAGCACAAGATGAACATGCAAAGACATGCAAACCCAACAAACCACGCAAAACACGTAGCACACGAAACACATGCAAAATGATGCGAACAGACGACAGGATGACGTGCAAACGAATATCCACCAACACACTCCCCCTCAGACTATCGGCTTGTCTTGCAGTCTCTAGTTCAAGGACATTCTTGCCATCCTCCCACAGCGCCAGTGTGGCTCTTCCGCTAGCCGCTTGGTAAGGAAGTCGGCTGGCTGTTGCTGAGTTTTCACGTAGATCGGATCTAGTGTCCCATGCTTCACCTCCTTCTGCAGCCAATGCCAGTTGATCCTTATGTGCTTGTTCAGCCCATGAAGAACCGCATTCCGTGCCATAGTAATGGCTCCCTTGCTGTCACTGAGCAGAGGTGTCGCACAAGTCTGTTCATGTCCGATCTCCTTCAGGAGCCTTTTTAGCTAGATGATTTCTTTTGCCGCATGAAACATCGCCATTTGCTCAGATTCCACAGAAGATAGTGCCGTTTCGGACTGCTTCTTCGACCTCCAACTTACAGGCCCACCTCCCACCATGCATACGTATCCACCAACTGACGATGAATCCTCATGCTCTGAAGCCCATGTGGCATCAGCAAAACAAGAAAGGAACACATTTCCTTCTCCGAGCTGCTCCCCCTTCTCTTTGAGGACTTCAACTCCTTTTTGACTGAGTTGAGCAGAGGCTGAATACTGTACTCCCACTGTAGGGTATGACTTGAGGTAGCGCACCACTCTCTCCGCTGCACCACACTGCTCTTCTGTTGGATTTTGCACTACTCGAGCCAGCTGTCCCACAGCAAAGCTGATGTCAGGCCGAGTATGCACAGCAGCGTAGAGTAGGCTCCCAACAATGGATTGGAATTGCCTCTGGTCTTCACTCTCAACTCCTTCTCCTTCAGCTGCGTTTATGAGTTTGAACTCGGAAGGCAAAGGTGTGACCACTTCCCGTTCTTCCTGCAGAGAGTACTTCTCAGCCAAGGTATTGATGTACTGTCCCTGATGCAGTTTGAGCCAGCCACGTTCAGTATCCCGCTCAATGTGCATTCCCAGGTAGTATCTTGCCTCTCCAAGTGACTTGCACTTGAACTGCTCTGTGAGCTTCCGCTGCACCCCATCGATCTCCTTGTCACTGCTGCTGAAGAGCAGGATGTCATCCACGTACACCAGCAGAAGCACAAGTGACTCCCCCTCGCCCATCAGGAATAGGCTCTCGTCGCATGCACTCGCACGGAATCTAATCTCTTCCAGTGCACTGGCCTGCCTGTTGTACCAGCATCTCGGGGCCTGCTTCAAGCCATAGATGGCCTTGTTAAGTTTGCAGACACGACCGGTTCCATCCTCATAGCCAGGTGGTTGAACCATGTACACCTCCTCTTCCACAATGCCGTACAGAAAAGCGGTTACGATGTCCATCTGCTTCGCCTTCCATTTGCGCACAGCAGCTACCGCCAGCAGCACACGTAGCGTTGGAGACTTAGCAGTTGGGGCAAACACTTCTTTGTAATCTTCCTTCTCTTTCTGCTGAAACCCCTTTGCCACCAGCCTGCTCTTGTAAACTGATGGCTCTCCTTTCTCATCCGTCTTGATTTTTGCCAGCCACTTGCACTGTATTGCCTTCTTCCCATTTGGCAAGTACACCAGGTCCCATGTGTGATTCTCCATCTGGCTGTTGTACTCTGCATCTCTTGAAACGAGCCACTTCCCCCGTTGAGGCCCGGCTAGCGCATGATCCATGCTCGGAGGTTGTATTGGTGCGTAAAAGCAGTATGCAGGCTCCTCGTCATCTGACTCTTGGTCATCACCCAAGAACAGCACTGCATCTTCGCCTTCAGCCTGTTCCTGCTGCTTAGTTGTGGCTCCTCCACTTGTAGAGCTCAGCAGCTTTCTCGGTGGATTTACCCATTCTTTCACCTTCACCTAGTCCTTTGTCCCCCCACCAATCTGTTTCCTTCGCTTTGGCAGACTTGGTGTTTTGGAAGCCTCTTGCTGCTGCTGCTCCGGATCCTTGACTTCGGCATCAGCTGCAATATCCTCATTGCTTCCTTCATCAGTACCGCTTGCTCTTGGCGCAGTGACTTCGCTGTCCTCAGGTTCGGACAAATCGAAGTGCATAGTGATCTCTTCCAGCTGCTGGGTGACCCTTGCCTCCGGCTGCTTCTCCCACTTGCCATACATGATGTTCTCCACAAATTTGACATCCCGACTGTCATAAGGCACATTCTTTGAGGGCTCCCAGAGTAGCCACCCCTTGCTCTCTGCCGCAAGCCCAAGGTGCACACACCACAGTGCAGATGCTCCAAGCTTTGTCCTGTACGGTTTAGGGACATGCGCCACTGCCATGCATCCGAACACTCTAAGCATGTCCACAGGAGGCTTCTTTCCAAGCCACCTCTCCAGCGGCACCCACATATTATCAGCCACCTTTGTGAGTACGCAGTTCCTTGCCACTGTAGCATGCCTCACCGCATGAGGCCACATGGAATTTCCCAGCGCTGATTCGATCAGCAGCGCTCGCGCAGTTTCCAGGATGGTCCTATTAGCCCTCTCAGCAACGTCATTTGACTGAGGGGTATAGGACGTCGTTAGCTGATGCTCAATGCCTTGTTTCTTGAGCCACGCAGTCAGATCTCCTCCTAGAAACTCTCCACCTCGGTCGGTTCTGATGCTCTTGCATGGGTGCCCAGATTGTCGCTCGACGAACGGCAGCCAGTCATCTCGTATTGTTGAGGCAGCATGATCCTTCTGCTTCAACGGGTATGCCCACATCAGCCGACTCCAGTCATCAACTATTGTCAGGAAGTACCTTTCCCCCTTACTTCCTCGAACTGGAAAAGGTCCTACCAGGTCCATGTGCACCAGTTCCAGTGCTGCCTTGCTTTTCCCAGCTACGCCGTGAAAGGGGAACCGTGTGAACTTGCTCAGCAGACACGTCTCGCACTTGGTATCATTTGGTTGCCCAGAAAGCTTCAGCCCCTTTACTGCTCCTTCCTTATGCAGTTGCTGCAGCAATGGCATAGCCACATGCCCTAGACGCCTGTGTGCGGTTTCCCAATCAGTCTCCCCCGACCTTGCAAAAACCGTCACTCCTGCAGCACTAGCTGCATTGCACTCCCCCAGGACTCCAGATCCCGCCTTTACTACTCCCAACTCCTTCTTTGTTGATTCCCATATCAGCGCAGGGATCTGCCACATGGATCTGAAGACATCTCTGCTTTCGTGTAAATCCCATAACACACGATCGGTATACCCAATTTCTTAGCCCTGTCCAGTTGTATGGGATTGTGAGTCGGGCCTACATCAACGAAAATCTTCAATGACACCCTGTTGACTTTACCCTCCCCAATACAGGGTGATCAGCATTTTTGTCCCCCTTATTTGTCCGGGTCCGGTCGATTGCAGCAATCGGGATCACGACTCAATGGGGACTGTATGGCTCGGGCAAAGAAGCCTGCCTGTCAGTAAGGGGCCTGGTACTGACGCGACCCATTTCCCGATCGCTCCACCGGCTTCTTCCCCATAGGATTCAGGAGGGCTATGAATTCTTGGCAGTTGCGTCGGATCTGACCCGGCCGGCCAGAGTGGTAGCATAGCCAAATATTTTGCGGAGCAACTGCGTAAATGTCCACTGCGTCCACCCCTTTTATCGTGGCGCGCTGGTACTGTTCTTGAGGGCGACCTCCGTCGTATAAGTTTGTCCTCGGCTTTGTGAGCAAATAAGCGGCTTCGGCTAGCTGGATGTAGTCTTGTAACCGCTTCGCAGGGCGTTGTAGTTTTATCTGGTACTGTATTTCGGGCTTCAAGCTCCCCATATACCTCTCGACCTTCTCCAACTCGTGCATGTGGACATCTGTCTACGAACGTCAAGAATGACGCGGTGTACTCGAACACAGATCCTAGCTGCTTCCACATGCGTAGAGTTTTACGTCTTAGAAATAGAATGCAAATACCACTTATGTATTTGTACTTTTATATCCTACTTTAGGTTGTGAATGTTCTAGTGGGTTGCGGTGTACTCACAAATCCCAACCTCACCCAATTGTGATCCCCACAATCTCCAATTACCCAATTGGAGATTCCGGAGATCCCAATGGAGATTCCCTCCAATTCCCCCTTCATCCATTCTCTCTCACCTTGCCATGTACTTATAGAGCCTTGGGCTCCTTACCTAATCAATCATTTCAACTCTATTTCTTACCTGGTATCAAAGCGACCTATCCGCACACGCGGATCAAGGTCCTAATCTCAACGTGCCCGCGCTACGCGCACTTCATCATCGCGACATTCGTTTCGACTCGTCGGAATTTCGATGTGCTCCACTCTGCAGTCGCGCCTCTCATCGTCGACCGCCTTCGCGCTCGACCTCGTTGAATTTCTCATCTCTGAAGCTTTCACGCTTCTCGTCGTCGATTTCCTCCTCAGTTCTCCTTGGTCGAATCTCAATTTCGACCATCTCTTAAAACTCGTTCTCGAGCTTCCCTTCAGACCCCGCCAGAATAGGCGAACTCCCCTCGCGAAATCGCCTCCACGAACGTCTCGCGTCAAATCAAGAGCAGGTACACAGGTTGAAGCGGAGCGGAGCTGGTTGCGGAGCTGGTTGCGGAGCTGGTTGCGGAGCTGTGTAGCTGCGGGACAGGGCCTGGGGGTGTGTGGGGGGGTGTGTGGGTCCGGGGTTAGACATAGGCTCAGATTCAGTTTCAAGTCGGCGTTTTAACGATTTTTTTCTGACGCCATTTCCTACTTAGTGGCATTTTGATAAAGCCGTCAGAGTGATTTTCAGCAATTCTCGTCGACCAATTTCCAGAAGTGCCGCGCTGCACACCGACAATGGCTTACTCAACCACTTCACTCGCCAACCCGATCCCGCTCCTTCGTCTCGAGCCGGACGGCACATGCTCCAACTACAAGGCTTGGCGCTATGGTGTCGACAAGCACCTCCTCAGTCGCGAGGTGAAGGGGCTCGAGCTCACCGACGTCCTTCTCAACATCGGTGACGGCAAAGAGCCTCCTAAACCCGAGAGGTCCGCCGATCCAGCTAATGCCGCCGCCGAAGCAGTTTATGCTGCTGCACTGCTCAAGTACAAGAATTGGGAGAAGGCCGATGGTGCGGTCATTAGTGTCTTCATGGGCATCACTCCTCCAAGGTGCAGTCCATTCATGGTGAACTCAAACAGTTGGGGATAGTCTTCCCCGAGCAAGCCCCTGCAGCCCCTCTCCTAGTCGGCCTCACTCCGGCATACGAAGTCACACGCAAGATGCTCTTGGGCCTTGCTCCTGCAGACCTCACATTTGCCAAGGTCTCATCCGCGCTCCTTTCTGCCGAAAAGGACAACAGCGCTCAAGCCAAGGCCAATGCAATCCGCGCTCCCGTGCCTCAAGCCTGTGCCGCTTTGGTGCCATTCCATCGCAACCGCTTCCCCCCGTGTCCCTACGTCATCAAGCGCGGCCCTCGTGCTGGCCAAGTGTGTGGCGGCACCAACCACGCCCTTGCCTCCTGCTTTAAGAAGAAGGATGACGAGTGGTATGCCGTCAATGGGACCGCCTCGAAGCCGCCAAGCTGGATGGTCAATCGTGCTCCTCGCCAAGTCAATCAACTCGAAGCGCAGGAATCCGTGCAGGCTGCTGTGGCTGCACCTGCTGATGTGCGCCTCAACATGCTGTTCCCTGGCACTGCCATGATTAATGAGACAATTTCGCAGTGTCCTGGCTCACAAAGCATCTCAGCCACAATAGAGTTCACCCTCGATAGTGGGGCCACTCACACGGTTCTCAAGGAAGAACACTCCTTCAAGCCATACGAGACACCAATCCATCTACTAGGAGCAGACTCCAGTTTCACAACACACGCCAAGGGCTCCTCCACAGTTCCGTGCCCAGCTTTTCCTTCGAGCAGTGTCATCGGCATGTGTGTTCCCACACTACGCCACAATCTCGTGGCCCAACACGAGCTCCAATGGGCAGGCGTCACCACGATCTTCCCAGCACACTCAGATCACTGTAACCTCTTCGACCCTAAGTCCAAGAAGCTCCTAGCACGCCTCACACTCAACAGTAGCAAGCTCTACACGCTGCGTTCACCTGCACCTCTCGCCGCCCTCTCCCAAGCGCAAGCTGCCAGCACCACTCCGTGTTCGTGTCGCAGCTTCGCCAACCCAACCATCCTCTACCACCATCGCTGGGGTCACCCCAACTTCCGTACACTTGCCGACATCGCTTCCAAGAAACTTCTTCTTGGCCTCGCGTCGGCGCTTCCTCCACCAATAGACTCACCTGCACCCACCTGCCTGGACTGCACCAAGAGCAAGCTCAAGCAGCAGCCGCACCCTTCCTCCCCATCCGTCGCAGCTGCTCCGCTGGACCTAGTGCACATGGATGTCTGGGGCCCAGCTCCAGTCGCATCCCGAGGCGGTCATCGGTACTTTCTTACACTAGTCGATGACCACTCGCGGTATGTTTCTGTGCACCTCCTGCATACCAAGGCAGAGGCATCTGATGTCATTATGGCGTGGGTGCGCCAGGCTCAAGTCACGTTTGGCACTCCTCTGAAGTGCCTCCATTCTGATGGCGGGGGAGAATTTCGCAATGGCAAACTCGATAACTTCTGTGCGGCCCAAGGGATTCGGCAAACCTTCACGCTCCCCGAAAGCCCGCAGCAGAACGGCATTGCAGAGAGCCGCAACCACACCTTGGTTCAGATCGCTCGCTGCCTCCTCAGTCACGCCAACGCACCCCGATCACTCTTGGGATATGCCCTCTTCCATGCGACACTCCTCTACAATCTTTATCCGCATCCCCACCGGCCCGACACCACACCTACCGCTCTCTGGCTTGGGGTCACGGCTTCCGCCCGCTCTCTACGCGTCTGGGGGTGTACCGCGTATGTGTTGCTAAGCCCCCACACGCGCAGGAAGCAAGGTGGCAAGCTTGGTCCCAAAACCCAGACCTGCATGTACCTGGGGCACAACTCCGACTCCCCAGACTACTTATTCCTCAACCCAATCACCAGACAGCTGATTCGCAGCCGTGGTGTCGTCTTCGATGAGACACGCCCATTCCACTCTGCGACCACGGGCAAGCCTTCTCCACCTCCCCCGACGCTTGTTTGGGCAGACTTCGATGCCCCACCTCCGGCCGCTGCCCCTTCCCCTGGGCCTTTTCCGTCCGGCGTGTCTCACCCGGCCTCCCCAGTATCCTCCGCAGCAGCACCTCCTCCTGCTCCGCCTTCCCCGCGCATCGAGCTCCGCTCACCAGTCTCCTATCGGAGGCGCCCAGTCCCTCCGGTCCCACCGCAGCCGCCTTCGTCTCCGGTCTCTAGTCGCACTCGTTCCAAGGGACCGGCTCCGCCTCTCGCCTGGG